CAGACAGACAGACAGACAGACAGACAGACAGACAGACAGACAGACAGACAGACAGACAGACAGACACAGACTTGCACTACACCACTGTTGCCAACAGATGTTACTAAAGGACAGCTTCAGGTAGTAGTCAGCCTCAGAACCACGTCGACACCATACAGTGTGTGAATGTAGTTTTTTTCCATTTTAATTATACATCCCACATTCGAACTTTGAATAAAAAAAATAATACAAAAACTTTAAAGCAAAAATATACTCATGTGAGGATATTCCTACAGCATCAGAGCTTTAAACAAGTAGGGATTAATACAATTCTCATGTTTCCAACTCAGTATGAACACCTTTACCTGGAATGTTTAAAGTTAATTAAATAGTGTGCCTGCCATTTATCACCATGTTCTCTTTTAATTTGGTGTCAGTTGACATGTTGTCATTAGCATTAGGCTCCTGGCACAGCTGAACTGGAAGTACTTAGGAGGGGAGTTTCCACAAAGTTATTTTAGATTTTCTGTTTTCACAGCCAAACCCCGCAGGCTGTTTGGTTTGAATCGATTGATAGATTCAAATTGTCCACTTCCAATCCTTTAGAAATAATAATAATTGAACTGTTGTTCAATAAAATGCAGGACAAAATAAGGCCTCTGATGCTTTTACAGAATGGACAGTAAAGGCTGCTTTGCTGAAATATATGACATCGTCTAGTTTAATTTGATACAATATAAAAACTCACAAGTCAGACATAAAGCTCATTTCAGAAATTCAAAGTTTACAACCAGCATTTTCAATAAAAGAAGTGGCGGGCTGATCTTCCTGCTACACCTTGTCCATCAGAAATAAAATACCTATTTGTTTTTTTTGGTTTCACCTTTCAATGGAGACAATAGAGCTTACATGAAAACCCATTTAGAGGAAAGGAACACCATTTACAAGGAAGTGCCCAACTAAATAAAAGACTGGTATGTGGAATGGCAGTATAAAAGTGTGAGTGCAAGAGGTTTGTCCGCATACCATCTGCCAACATGAAGGTCCTGTTGCTAACGCTGGTGCTCCTGCTGTCTACCGCTCAAGGTGAGCCATATTCCAATTATAATTATATTAAAGCATCGTATTTATAAAGGAAATATCAAATATGAAGTAAAAACATTTAATCTATAATGGAAGCATTTTATTTGATCACTGATGCTGATTACCTATTAGTGCCATAAGAGTCTATATACAAGTGATACATCATTTGTAACATTCACCTGTTTGTAACTTAGAAATTATGTATCACTTGACTCTTATGGCACTACTTCTATTCTGTTTTATTGTGTTGCACTATTTGGGGGAGCCTGGGACCTAAGATTTCCATCGACATAACTACACTGTAACTATGTACGAAAGACAATAAAAGCCTTGAATCTTGAATTACCTGAGTGTCGACGTACATTATACCGTGTGTTATCTTGTGAAAGGCTATGCTGTACTACCACTAACTTAACATAATGTTGTCTTTAAAACGTCATACTATTGTAGTAAGTAATTCTAATTGCTTTTGTCTTTTCCCGTCAGTGCTCTCACTCACATGCTTCACCTGCGAAGGAGACGTGAACTGTAAGGCGGAGACAGTTTGCCCGGCATCCTCTCAGTACTGCAAGACCATGGAGCACGGTACTTAAGCTCTTTCTGTACTTTATACCTCATGTGTATGTTTTATCATGTTTGTTTGGCATTTTTAGAGAAGCCATTTTTATCTGGTTCGATGACACATGGATTGTAAACTCATTGTACATTTTTTATTTTGTCGACAGGAGAAGAACTTCGTCGAACTTGCGAGGAGCTTTGTGGAGATGATGATATCTTCACAACCTGCTGCTCTGAAGACCTTTGCGGACCCTGAGGCCTCCCTAAAAGCGCTCACTTCCACTTCCAGATGAATTAAAATAATACGAGAACAAATAATGACCTGAGTCTGAATCTGATAGAAAATGATTTGTCAATCTGACACTCCTATCCTGCTTTTACTTTCAATTCACTCTTGAAATTATGATTAATGATTTAGTCTCACTCTTCATTTCCCAGCCAAAACTGCACTGGCTCACAGCCATGTTTTATCTTCAAAGATCTAGTGATGGCGCAAGGGCACACACACGCACGCACACAAAACACACAGACACACACAGACAGACACACACACAGCCACGCACACACTGAATCCTTCCTGATGTCAGTTAGTGGGTCAGTGCTGCGTTGGTCGCTGTCTGTGTCGGCTGTAATGTGAAGTTGGCTGTTTCAAAACATGTAATGGAAAGAAATAAAGCTTTTAATTGATCTGCTAGATTTGTTTCAGCTGTCTTTTGTTACATGTTCGACAGAGGCCTATTGTTCTGATGTACAAGGTTAAACAAATGATACCCAGCAAATGTGTCCACGTGAGGTGGGTTTAAAAACAGTATGCTGACTTCCTCATGATTTAATTTTGGGGCGTAATGTGAAATGTAGCAACAATAGAAGACTGCTGATGTAAACATTTTAAATATTTTAAAGAATCTGGTGTGCAAATGTTTCATAGGGAAGACAATGCAACCAACATTTTGTATTAGGACTTATGTTCAAACACTTTTTCTTTACTCTTTCTTACTGTCGCTATACGGCCAGTTGCCTAATTTTTTCATGAAGGTAAACTGGGTAATACATTATAGTAAGCCAATCAATTCTGTCCAACATCTCCACATAGCCTCACACAAAGAGAGGTGTTCTGGTCTAGTGTGTGTGCGTTTATGTGAGCTAATGAGAATAACCCAAAACCAATAACAAAACTAAACTAAAAAAACAAAGAGACAGATTGGCATTTAACCAAACAGACATTGATCAAATGGAGACACTTATATGGTAACAGAAATGTGATGAGCATAAGTACATTATCATCTGATGATCCCCACCTTTTTCACCACTGAGCCAGGCACATTAATTATCTTTAAAGAAACAAATAAAACTTGTTCACAAAAGTGTTTCTCTCACTTCCTGTTGAGTGTGTTAATCTCGCTTGACAGCATTCATTCACTCAGAGAACATTCTTCACACCCTGTTACTGTCAGGCATGCACGGTGCTGGACTCATGCCCATCAAAACACTGCGGAGCGTGTTTCATCTACAAAGTTATGGTTCAACATGAGGCCAGGAATAGTAATATTAACTACAAAGAAAGCATCTTAAAGCTTGGCTTACTAATTAAAGAGGAACGTTACCCTTTCATAATGCTAGTTTGTTTATTTATTAGCCGATACTCCACTTAATCTCCTTCTTAAATGCATTTCCTGTTCCACCAAAAACACAAAGACGTTCAATGATTGAATGGCATGGATATAGAATACCTCCAAACCTCATGGGCCTCTCGATATCAGGCAAATAACTCTGTAAAATATAGGTCATAAGTGTTAATCTCTCCGGCTGTTCCTCCTTTACATTAGAGCAGCTCAGATGAAAGAGGTGGATGATTGGTGGATTAGTAGATCAGAACCTTTTACACTTAATGTGTTACCCATAAATACACACATATTGTTCATGTGCCAAATAAACACAGATGGACGTTAATGCAATCATCTTTATGTTTTTGAACCAATTTTGGGGGAATCACCCCAAAAAAAAAATGTTACAACTTTCCATGATTTAGAGGAATTATTGAAACTTCTGAAGAAGTCAGTGTGCAGAAAGCCACATTGAGAGCATGAGGGAAATACTACATCTCATCTGCTGCCCACACAGGAAGAGCTGTGCTGCTGAGCGTGTGAGAATTAGCATCATGCCTCATGCTAAGTGTCTTTGTTTTTCTTAAAGGACATCTACAGTACATTGGGGGCAAGGCTGTGTAAAGCTCCAATCATGTTCGTTGAGACATTTTTTTGATTTAATCAAGGATCTTGCAACATTTTTGGTACTGCTCCAGTTGGACAGTTTGAAGCTTTGTTGTTACTACGGAGTTTCTAAATCACGTGCTTCTTCTTTATACTGAGATAATAGATAATGCCTTTAAGAATCTCCTCGTCAAAATAACCCTGCTAATATTTTAATCATTAGTAGAACACAACTGTTTTGAACAATGCATGTAATAAAATAGGAAACAAATCCAATAAAATGACGAAGCCATCATAAGGAAGGTATGTTTTTGTATCCGAACGTATGATATGTGTTTAGTTTTTCACCCCATTAGTCATCTCTGAAGGCCAACCCCTCCCGTCACCATTATCTTGTAACCTTTTTAACTGGACCAACTGGATTAAAACTACCAGAGAAGCAAATCATGCAACAGTAAAACACATGGATGCAGCAGTATTAACAACTACAAATGTCATATACATGTATTTATACATTTATTTTTGCTGTATATGTATATGTTTGCTGGGTTTTGGCTGATAATACTATTATTACGATTTTGATTGCAGGACTGTTATTTGTGATTTTATATTTTGTTTTTGTTACATTAGTTTTGATAATTGGGTAAATGATATAACGATTCTTCCATTGCTATAGGTTTAGGATCCAAAAAAAGAGCATGTCGGCTGCACAAAGCTTCCCCGCTTAAAAAATAAAGATTCAAAACAAAGACTCACTCTGTTGCTCCACCAATGCAGGGCCTGTTGTCAAGAGTGAGCTCTGCTTTAGCTGGTAGAGTAATGGTGGTTCATCTATTGGATTAGTGGAGGGATTTCACTGTGGTATTAATCTGAGAAGACAGCAGGAGAGCGGGCTCACGCTGAGCTGTTGTGTCTCTCAGTCTCTGGCCGTCACTCAGCTCGCTGTTCCAACTCCATCAGACGCTCCGACACGCACAGGACACCTCGCAGCCAACATGAACCTTTTCTGCTTCTCGCTGGTAAGAGACACACTTTTCATTTCTGTGTCTACTTGACAAGCTGTGTGTGAGAGGCTGAGGGAAAGAGGAGTGTTGCCATGTGATTGAAATGCAACCAGTACATTATAAATCTGTTGATCATGGCATGCTGGGTAAGTCATTAGGTTTGGGAAAACAAGTACAATGTGGTTGTATCCGCCTCTGAATAAGTTAGAGAACAATTAAATGTAACTATTTAAACTCCTACTATTCTTATTTGTAGTCAGATCATTAACCCACTTATTGGTTTGTCATTATAAATATCCTTCTGATATTAAGTTGCTCGTTTCTGCACAGCTCTATGTGAAAATGTAGAAATGCTTCTCTAAAAAAACGTTGTTACATTTTCTTTGGATTCACCATGTATGAACTACATGATATGAATATAATTACCTAATATGCCTATATATTTGTACTTTAATGCCGTAGTTTATGTAGTAGTTGATGCGTTCACAATGCTAGAGGACAAAGCAGATAGAGTATTGATAATTGAAGCAGTGTAAAAACAATGTGTAGTGGCAGCCTTTTCCCATTCCCTCCCACACATGGTCCCTCAGATGCTGCTGCAGCTGTCACGCTAAACGCTGACACAAGGCCATGTACAAACTATTCATTTGGACAGATGTTGGGGATGTTAACCAACAATCGGGATTATTAACTAACGTCGTTCTACAGTCAGAGGCGTGAACTGTGATTGCACTCATTGTCCTCTCTGGTGCTGTTGATTCACGTCACTATGATGAGTCATAGTACAAAGAAAAATGCAACAAATATCAAAACTAAGACATATCTTACCTACATGTAGTTTGGTTTAGGTCATCATTTGGCACATTAATTGAAAGTAATTAGGTGAAATAAACGTATCATTTCTTTGATGCAGGACTTTTGAGCGTTTTAGTTTATTTTTGAAAACAAACGTACAGACATTAGGTAAAGCTTAATGAAAACTCTATCTTGAAGGATATTTGAATATAAATAATTGTAGGCCTATAATGAATTTCCTCCACAATTCAACATATGCAAGCGAATGAAGGGAAGTACAACTAAAGTATTAGTAATTATATAGAAAGGTACAAATGTGAGGATATCTGTATTATTTCTTTTAATTTCTTCACATTTCAGACAGACAACTCACGTGTTTCTTAATATGTTTATTATAAGCAGCATATAGTTTGAGTTTGGCGTCTAGGCTCGGGCCTCATCACTCCACAGATTTACAAAGATCATTGAGTGATGATTAGATAACTATCCCCCGAGCCTACAGGTGGAAGCTGGGGTGGTGGTGAGGCAGGCAAGCAGCAGCAACATGAAACACAGCAGCAGCAACATGAAAGCAGCAATAGCAAGTGAACACAGCAGTGGCAGCAGCAGCATAGCGAGGCAGAGGCATGAAGACCTGGCAGCTTAAATAGAGCGGCATGTTTAGGAGAATGTGTTTGTTTGGTTGTAAGAGGGACGAGGTGCGTCACATGTGGAGGCGTGTGGCGCAGTGGAATAGTGCGTTGGTGTTGGGATCAGGGGAGCACAGGCAGGCCCGGTTCTACGGGGGTGCATAAGGGTGCATTGCACCCTCAGTTGAGTCGTTATGCACCCTCATTTGAAAAAAAAGTAAAAAAAAAAATAAAAATAATGAAAAGTAAAAAAAATGAACAGTGAAAAATATCACATATATAATACTAATAATAATAATAATCATAGTAATAATAATAATAATAATTTAGCGCATTTATTTGGTCAATTTAAACGGTAAAGTCAGGTGCGCGTGACCTGTGCCGCTGCACGTTCGTCATCAGCAAGGTGCTTACCCAGCAGTCAATGATAGCATCAGAAAATGGTTAAAACAACCAGCCCTTATCGCCAGCAGTAACACTGCATCTACTGCAGCCGGTAATAACAGTTCAGATCATGGGGACATTACGTTACCCGCGGCCACTGTCGTGGACACTAACGTCCTCCCGCCCAACTCGCCGGCTTTGCCCGCCTCGCCCACGAAGGCGGAGCAGCTGCAGCCGTCTTCGTTGCCCCAAACACCGCCACCCCTCGGCTGCCTGCAAGTGCCAGAGGACCTCGGCAAAACAGAGCCTGCCCAGGTATATTTAAAAAAGTACCCAACTCGCCTGTACAGTGGGTTAAGGCGCTCATTTTGCAGCTCATGGTTTCAAAACAGATTGGCTGGAATATTCATGTAAAAAAGATGCCATCTTCTGCTATGCATGTAGACATTTCGGTTCAAGTAAGTCAGATGCCTTCACCACAACTGGCTACAACAACTGGCGCCATGCTCTTGTACGTGATAAGGGACTGGGAAGGCATGAATCAAGCAAAGAGCATTAAGTCAGTGGCTTTGTGGAAGGAGAGGCGTGCAAGAAGTGAGATTGGTACAGAGGTTTCCACTCTTGTAAATGCAGCACAACTGGAGAAAACAAAAAATAAATCTGTTTACAGTT